CACACATCCTTCCAAAGTGGGGACATTGGTTTCCGGGCGGGAGTTGATCACAGTGTGGATTTGCCAAGCGTGCCTTCCTCTTAGCACATTTCTCCCTTGAGTCTGAGCGTCTTCAAAGTCCATGACACCTTTGGTAAAGGCTGTTCTCTAATTGGAGTGCCAGTGTTTCCCAGTCGTAGGTGTTTATACTGCATTTTTTTAGATTTGCCTTGAGAGAGTCTTTGAACCTTTTTTCACCATAGTACCATAGAGCAACGGGACGCGGGTGGCGCTGTGGGTAAAAGCCTCAGCGCCTAGGGCTTGCCGATCGAAAGGTCGGCGGTTCGAATCCCCGCGGCGGGGTGCGCTCCCGTTGCTCGGTCCCAGCGCCTGCCAACCTAGCAGTTCGAAAGCACCTCCGAGTGCAAGTAGATAAATAGGGACCGCTTACTAGCGGGAAGGTAAACGGCGTTTCCGTGTGCTGCGCTGGCTCGCCAGATGCAGCTTTGTCACGCTGGCCACGTGACCCGGAAGTGTCTCCAGACAGCGCTGGCCCCCGGCCTCTTGAGTGAGATGGGCGCACAACCCTAGTGTCTGGCAAGACTGGCCTGTACAGGCAGGGGTACCTTTACCTTTTACCATAGAGCAACAGGGAGAAGAATATGCCAAAAAGAGTTGGAGCAAGAACACAGCCCTGTTTCACACTGCTCTTTATATGGAAGGTATCCGAGGATGAACCATCATACTGGATGGTGCCGTTCCTGTTCTCATGGAAGGACACGGTCATTTTGTGGAGCTTAGATGGGAATCCTATCTTGTTAAGCAGTGTGAAGAGTCCCTTTTGGCTGACAAGGTCAAAGGTCTATGAAGGTGATGTACAAGGGGTATCTCCATTCTTGGCATTTCTCCTGCAGTTGGAAAAAAAATCACACTTGACTATTGGCCCCTGAGCTCTAAAGCCGCATTTTGATTCAGGAAAGACCCTGTCCATGAGTAACTGTAATCTTTTGAGAACTACATGGGCAAAGGCTTGTGTGTTCAGACCCAGAGACCTCCCCCCCTAAATAAAGTCACACTTGACTCAAATTTTAGTTTTGGTTTTTGGCAGAATTTAGGCCACAACTTTATTGATTACAGAAGTTGAGTGGTTGCATAGGCTCTGGTTCGACTAGCTCCCTGCACCCTTGCAGGCAGCACTGACCCAGAGCTCTATCATAGGTCAGCCAAGGGTGAACACCTGGATAGGCGAAAAGCCGGAACAGACTATGTTCACCACCCAGATGCCCCCCTGGACTCAGGCACAGGCACAACCCCCTCTCAGGGGTTGACCAAACCAGTTGAGTCCCTGGATTCCTTTAACAGAATACCATACACATAAGGATGGTGAGAGCATTCTCCCATCCCTATCACATGAACCAAAGCCTATCCGCAACCTTACAAGTTGTGATGATTTGCTACACGGCAGGCAAAACCCAAATGGCAACAGCCAATCAGCCAAGTAGGGAAAATTCTTGCCATGCCCCTGTCCCAACAGCAGACGACACACGACGGCATAGCAAGGTCAAGCGCAAAATGCCCTAAAAGTAGGGAGAGGAGGTGGGCGGGTGATCCGATGCACAAGCCGTAAGAGGAAGCTCTGGGTCACGTGCATGAGTATATATAGGTCCCTTGATCCATTTAGACTGTGCCCCATTGGCCAGATTGAACCCAACATTGAGGGACCTACCAATCGGGTGTTGTGGCTAATCAATCCAACCCACCCATAACACAGGAGGTCAGTCTGTCCTCTTTTAGGGAGGACATGATTTCCCCCACAGTGTTCCCGCAGTAATTGTTACAATCATGGTAGTCACTTTTCTTCTTATAGAGGGTCACAATGCTTGGGTTGTGCATGTCATGTGACACAGATCCTTATTCCCAACACTGCAAGAGAAGGCCGTGGGGGTGTGTCATTAGGGAGGAATTGAGACCAGCTTTCAGCACTTTTGTTAGGGTTCCATCCTGTCCTGGGAGTTTACCATGTGTGTGAGAGCTAATGGTGTTCTTCAGCTCGTCAAGGAAGAGAGGGATTGTTCCAATACAGGCAGAGTTTGAATGTTGTCAATTGCTGTGCCAGAGACCATGTTTTCCTGTGAGTATAATTCTTGATAGCGCTCTGCCCTTTGCTTCATCTGCTTGCTGTGGTCTGTGATGATCTCTCTCTCCAGGCAAGGTTTTCAGTTTTCTCTACTGTTGGTGCAAAGACTGTCTTCGTGCCTTTGTGCATTTTGCAAATGTTGCCGCTGTCAGCAGCAAGTTGAATGCTCTGACACAGCTTTAGCACAGCTTTGGCACAGTGCCTGGCAATCCACTCCTTGCCTTTCGGAGTGCAGCAAGTGTCTTCTCGCAGACCACATACTTGTAGTTCACAAGAGCCTTGTGTTTCAGAGCAATAACAAGCTCCGTGTCCTTAATGCCATCCTCAAAGCAGTCAGGGATCTGCTCTTCTCTTTTGCCCAAAGTGGACATAACTGTGTTGTAGGATGCCTCTGACGTAGTTCCACCTTGCTTCGACATTGTCTCTGAGGCAGTTCAGTGGTGCTTGTTCAATGGAATCAGAGATGGAATCAGTGGTGCTTGTTCAATGGAAATCAGAGAATCATTCACAAAGTTCAGGTATGGCTGTTCTGGCAGTGTTGATTCAAGGCCCCAGTTTCTGCTTTGTGCTATGGGTCCATTTTTGGCTGGAGAAGGATCTTGCTCGCTATCACGTAGTGATCTGTGTCACACTCGGCACTGTGGTAGCTCCGTATGACACAAGCACATTTCAGAGTCAATCACCTAGTTTCTGAATCACTTCAGACAACTTTTACCAGCCCTCCAATTAATGTCCATTTAATAGGTTTTTCCCTTTTTTTGCAAAGTCATAATCTGATGGATTTGGCTGCAACAGAAGGCAACAGTGCTAAAAGCCTACTTTCAAAATGGTGCATAAATCAATACTTCGCCAAAATGGAAATGTTCCACATTTAATTTCCTAATGTACACTGGGCTGTGGCATGTTAAGCACTAAAAGTGCTCTAAGAGATAGTTATAACCTTGTGACATGATGTAAACACCATGCAAATTATGCACAGAGCTTTTCAAGTCTTACATCTCCCACTGGCCATGACAAATTATAATTATGAATAAGAGTGATGAAAGGAACAAATGTAAACACAAGGAAGAAAAAAGAGGGTGGCGATGTAGTTGCTTTATATTCCCACTAGGGATGTAACAAAGCCAGTGGCTTTCTAAGTTCCAGTGTTGGCAGCCCTGTAGCTAGGGCAGGCCAAATGGGTGCAGCACCCGCCACCCCTGTAAACCACACTTTGCAAGTGCCCCCTTGGGTGGCTGCTGTTTTTTAATTGACTTTCTAATTTGTGACATGACAGACAAAGACAGACCTCCAGTTAAAAAACGATGGCTTGTTTTGAGAACAGGAGCAATTTAAAAATAAGATCCTCTGAAAAATTCAGTGACTAAGATTGAGTAAGTACACAAAACAAGCCTCATCTGGAAGAGTCTCTAAAAGCTTGCTCATTCAGGACTTTCCTTGACTGAGGGTAGATTTTTCATGGGCACAATCCCCTATAATTATTTCAGTGAACCTGAAAAAAAACAACCCATGATCCTTGAAGCATAGAAGCCAACTCAAACATAGAAGCTCCCATAAAATATTTGAGCCCCGCCCCCCAAGTTTATGGGCATTGCCATTTTTAAACAGTGTCAGCGCACCTTGTCTTGTGATTAATTCTGTGGATTGTGCCTTTCCTTCAAGTTATTTTCTTCAAGTTGGCACTCCTGTCTTGAAGAGTTAAATATTAGAACTTTGTATTATGAGCTAGAGTTAAAACTCTGCTCCTGGACTTCCATCCACCCTAAAGTCTTTAAAAGCACACACTATACTCAAAAAGGTTTATTTGTGTTTGTGGTATGCATGTATTTGTGGTCTGTGTCTGTGGGAGGTGTGCGCATGCATGCAAGAGAGTGTGAGGTGGCCATCCCAACTTGGGACACACACTCACTTCTGCTTTAACTATGTCCACCCAGTCTGGCATGAAGTCCTGTGACGATTGGCCAACAGGGAATGAGGCCGTCAAACTGAAGAGCATTTTCTGCCCCGATATAGACCTAAGAGTGCGAAGACTTTTAGCTGAACAGAACCACAGGACACTGCTGGAAAGAGCAACAAGTCTTAATTTATGCCCACTGTACTGAGAGGGAATTAATGTACGTAGACCCAGGAAGCTAATTGGCATTTCTGAGTTGCGAGTTCACTGCTCCAGTAATGGCTGATAATGGTTAAAACCCCAGTTTAACCACGTCATGGCCACGTCATTCTTCCATATGAGGAGATTAAAAACATCCTCTGCCACACACTTAGCATCTTGATGGCCTCATATGCTTTGTGGATGGTGAAGTGCAGCACAGAGTAACAAAGACGCCAGTCTATTCCTCACAACAGTTCTCTTCACATTCAGCGTTGAGATGCATTCGAGGCTGTGGAAATGACCCCAAAGCTGATAAATCTGGGCACAGATTTATCTTTTCACTTGTTCTGTGGGCCCAAATTGTCAACGTGAAAATGTAAGTGGTTTTCACAAAGGAGGAGAGCAGCAAGGAATAGAGCACCCCCCTTTAATTTTTCCATGTCTTTTTCTGTTGATAAAAGGGCAGAGCAATGGGGCCAGAAGAAAAGCGGCAACCCTACAAGCAAAGGAATTTTGGTAGTTCAGAAGACCAATGGTATAAACATGGCCAGTCCTCTTCCTTTAAGTGGTGGTTTCTTCTGAGGGAAATTCCACCAGGTGCAGCTTTTCCCAGCACTGTAACACTATGATGAGAACTACCACACCTGGGACAATTCTTTATGCATCTCTTACGAAGGCCAGAGCCCTCTCAGGGCTGGACTCACCTACTAAATTAAACAAATTGATGGCATCTTCATGCTCAGCTCCAATTTGTTGATTGCTAGAAGTGGAGAAACAGAACGAAGCATGTCATAGCACACATTTATTGGCTAGTGTGGTTGTGAAAGGAGCCTGTGTATCAGCCAAGGCTCTTGGTGGCTCTCAGATAAAGGTTGGCTAGCTTTATCTGAAGCCCTGCCAAAGAGGACAATGAAGTTTCCCATGATTTTGCTGCACTTTCTGTCTTGGAAGCCATGCATGTGACGGGCTCCAGGAATCTGGAAAGGATGTCTATGGTTGCATGTCATTGAGCCATCAGGTGTTAAGGTGTTGAGCTGGAAGGGAAATGCAAAGATAGGGGTGGAATTGGATTTCTTGAGCCCCTAACAAGCATAAGGTGGGCATGACAGGCAAGAGATGACCTCTGGAAATGAAAAACAAAGCAAAACAAAACAAAAGACTACCCTCTGTTCCTGATGCTATTCCCCTGCTCCTAACTATATAGCAATAAGGCATTCAGGCAAGTTAAAGCATTATTCATACAAATACTACATGCAATGATTTTTTTCTGGAGGGACGCAGGGGTACACATACCCCTAAACATTCTGTGAATCTTTGTACAGTGGTACCTCAGGATAAGTACTTAATTCGTTCCGGAGGTCCGTTCTTAACCTGAAACGGTACTTAACCTGAAGCACCACTTAAGCTAATGGGGCCTCCTGCTGCTGCTGCGCCACCGGAGCACAATTTCTGTTCTCATCCTGAAGCAAAATTCTTAACCTGAAGCACTATTTCTGAGTTAGCAGAGACTGTAACCTGAAGCGTATGTAACCTGAAGCGTATTTAACCCCAGGTACTGTATTTATTTTTCCCTATTTGAACTATAAAATGGTGATTTTCTTGAGTCAAAATGAGAGTACCCCTAAGCATTTTTTTAAAGAAAAAAAGCACTGATTACGTTGTCACTGAAATGGGTTGGTGGTGTTTGACTAGGGCCTTGGTTCTGAAGTGCCCTACAGAAGGTGCTTTCCCTCAAGTGGAGTAACCATATGCCCTCTAGCCTAAGAGTGGTTCCAGTTGTTATGTTGATGTGCGAGCCAGTCACACATCTTTCCAGCCTTTGTCTAAAAAAACAAGTCTCCAAAACCTCCCCCTCTTTTCTTCTAGACACCCCTCCCTCCCTCTCTCTCTGACTTGCAGTGTGAATATCCTAGCGAATAACTGACATCTGCTCCTGAAACTACATCTTGTGAGTGATCTGTAATCACACTTCACCTGCTGACTGACGTAAACTTGCCAGATCCCCACACCACACACACACAGATACACCCTGACTCCTGAGCCTTTGCAAGCAGTTTGACAGGTGTAAATTTCCACACAATTTGCATCTGGGCAGGGGATCGAAGGCAGTGGTGCTTTTTCTTGCCTCCTAGTGTGGTATTACAGTACCTGTTTTCTATCTGCTTTAAGGATCCACATTTAGTTTCCAATTAGCACATTCTTGCGTCTCCACTTTTAGCTTTTGAGAATGTGATAAATAATTACATTATTTTAGGAGCAGGGAACATCTGGCCCAAGGGGTGGATGTGGCTCTCCATGTCTCTCTATCTGGCCCTAGGGACTCTTTCTAGGCCATGCTCTGTGCCTTCTTCAAGTGCTTTTGCTTAGCTGCAATTTATCCTTAAACAAGAATAATGTCTCTTGCTTGTTTGGATGTGTGTGTGAGCGTAGAAACTGGCTTTTAATCTGACTGGAATGTTTCTTATTGGACAAAGGTAGGAGTCAAAAAACCTGTCCGCAATAACACTTTATTTCCTTTAGAATAGTTTATATTTTCTGACCAGAGATCCTATATAAACCCTGGCCTATAGTAAGGGTTTAATACACAATATAGATCTCTCACATTTAATCTTGCCAAAGTCAGTGCCGGGGCATCCAGTTATAGTTATTTTGTATCTATACATTTTTTTGCGGAATGGAATTTTATTACTAAAGGCAATTGGAAAGCCTTGTGAAATTGCCATTGGAATTTGATAAACAAAAGCAACTTGATTCTGCAAGTACTTAGCAGGGACCAAGCTGGCTGCTGCTGCTTCCCATATAGCATATAAAAAGAGTGCAGTTCTGCAGTTCTCTTTAGTAAGCTCTTCATACATTTCTAGTTATAGGTAGGTAGCTGTGTTGGTCTGCCATAGTAAAAAAAATAAAAAATAAAAATTCCTTCCAGTAGCACCTTAGATACCAACTAAGTTTGTTATTGGTATGAGCTTTTGTGTGCATGCACACGTCTTCAGATACTCTTCATACAGTGTACAGGTTACTGGTACTCATTGAAAGTTCAGTTCTAGCTACCAATTCTCCAGTAATATTTCTTGTAATAATAAATATAACAACTCACATTCTACTCATATTCTACTCAGTTCTAAAAGTACTAAAAGAGTGGTATACAACATAAAACAATGTACCAAAAGAAGAAAAAGGTAACTGTTTCTAAAAAACAATGAACTACCGCTAATAGTGAAAGCAAAACAGTGCTTTGTAGTGCCTCTTTGAAGCAAGAGCCTAGGCTTGATCCAGATATTGCCTTGATGGCTAAAACCTCAGTCTTATCCCCTTTAATTAAAAAAAATGCTTAAAAAGAAAAAAAGTAAAGGGTTGAATTTCCCTCATGTTTTTGTTTCCCCAATCAGTAATTATCATGAGGCTTGTATAGAGGAAAGCAAAAGGAAACTGAGTTCTCTTCAAACTTTCTTGTTTACAGGTTCCTTTCAAGGACACCCTCCATTTCTATAACCCCTTTATATTATGTTTTTATGCATGACCCCCTTCTGGTTTCAGGGCAGTTCAGGCATTCTAATACCTAAGGCCATGTTAATGTTGTTTTGGTTACTCTCCCTAATGATTTTCCATGCCCTGGAGAAAAAGTTGTTCTGCTTACCTTGGCTTTCTTCCAGGAAATGCTAATCACCTGCTACAGGTGCAGGGAACAAAATTCCTACGTCTTTTCCTGTTGCTGCAAGTGCTGTGAAGACGTCAATGCAATCCAAAGTAATGCTGGTGAGGAGAAATATGTGGAGACTTACACTCAACTTTCCACCTGTGTGGTTAGGAACTATAAGGTACAGGAAAATGTAAGTTTCTGTGGTTTTTTAGCAGGGGGTTGTCTGCACTTTGGCTGGTTTATTTTAATTTTGTAAGGAAGAGTGAAATTAGAGAATTACAGCTACTGCAGGGAGTGATCTTGTTTCTGCACCAAATGTATATTCAGCATTTATTTATTTTTTGTCATTGCTAATAATGAATTAGCATTTGGTTCTTAACTAAAATTTACAACAAAAACCCAACATTTGAGAGGAGTTGCTTGTAGTATTACTCTTTAAACTTTCAACACAAAACCATGTATATCCTGACTATGTTTACTTGGAAATAACTCCAGTTTCACTAGGACTTTCTCCAAATAAGTAGCCTTCGGGCTGCAGCTAAAATCATTCGGGTGCTATGGTTTCTATTTATAGTGGCATGGTCTGTGGTGTTGAAATCATGGTCTGTGGTGTTGAAATCATGAAAATGTCAGTTGCATCTTGGAGCTTACAATATATGTGGCAGAATCCATTATCTTTGTAAAGTTAATAATCACTTTGGAACTCTATTTGCAAATTGTGATACTCCTTGGAGGAGAAATCTCCCAGAACAGTGGAAGACATTCATATACCCATTCATATACACCCTCACATCAGATGTCAAGGAAATAAACAACTATCTGGCTTTTAGAAGACATCTGAAGGCAGCCCTGTTTAGGGAAGTTTTTATGTTTGATGTTCTATCGTGTCTTTAATATTTCATTGGTGGGCGGGCTATAAATTATTATTACAGTCATACCTCGGGTTACAGATGTTTCAGGTTGCGTTTTTTTGGGGTTACAGACTGCCAAAACCCGGAAGTACTGGAACAGGTTACTTCCGGGTTTCGGCAGTCGCGCATGCGCAGAAGCGCCGAATCACAACCCATGGATGCACAGACATGCTGCTGCAGGCGGCAGACACTGTGGGTTGTGAATGTGCATCCCACACGGATCACGTTCGCAACCCAAGAGTCCACTGTAGTAGTATTATTATTATCCCATTTTCTGGATTGATACTAAATAGTAGCTCATGTAAAAAAAGATCCTTGCTATAGGGACAAAAATTAGCTTGAGGAAGTTTGTTGCATATTATTTAGGTTACGAGTTTACACGTGGGAACGCTACATGTTCTAACACTAAAACAGATGAAATCTGGCACATATGAAGATCACTTAGGCACCAATGCAACAAGTCTTAGGACTGGACTGCGTAACAAATATAAACATTTAGGTCATATACCATATGTGTTGTGAAAAGAGGGAAACCTCATTTCCTAGTTATATTTCCATTTAAATTTTCTAACCCACCTTCATTGAATAATGATCCTAGAGGGATACAGCATGAGAAACATAAAATAATAGTTACAAATTGGCAAAAAGATCAGAGTTTAAACCAACATATATAACTTTAAATACTTGAATTTAAATTAGTCAAAGTACTTGCCAGGGTGGGAGGAATGGTGCTCTTCTCTGTTCTATGCAGACATGCTCTAGGTAAATTTTCTAGGCTATAAAGTGATATTATTTTAAGAGTGCAATTCTAATTCAATGGGCTAAACCTGATAAGATTTAGAGGGGCTTAAAGATAGCTCTGATCTGGACATATCAGCAGAATTCCCCCCCCCCCTTATTTCATGATCAGTAAGGGGAGGATATATATAAGGTACCCCTGACCATTAGGTCCAGTAGTGGACGACTCTGGGGTTGCGTGTTTATCTTACTCTATATGCTGAGGGAGCCGGCGTTTTTTCCACAGACAGCTTCCGGGTCATGAGGCCAGCATGACTAAGCCGCTTCTGGCGAACCAGAGCAGCACATGGAAATGCTGTTTACCTTCCTGCCTGAGCGGTACCTATTTATCTTCTTGCACTTTGATGTGCTTTCAAACTGCTAGGTTGGCAGGAGCAGGGACCGAGCAACGGGAGCTCACCCTGTCATGGGGATTTGAACTGCTGACCTTCTGATAAGCAATCCCTAGGCTCTGTGGTTTAGACCACAGCGCCACCCGCATCCCATATATATATATATATATATATATATATATATATATGCTTCGTAGATTTTCACGGGTACAGGATGCAGGTTTTGGTGTCCTCGGGTGTCTTCCCGTGTAAAGTACTTTTACTTTTACACGGGAAGACACCCGAGGACACCAAAATATATATATATATATATATATATATATATATATATATATATATATGGTTAAACAAAGAATGTAGGATATTTGTGTACAGCACTCTATGTGGTCTGTATATAATTCTTTGTACAGTCCTTTTATGCACATTTACTCAGCAGTATCCCAACTAAGATCAATGAGAGTTACCGCCAAGCCATTGTGGATGCTAAGCTGCATTGAACACAGTGGGACATACTTCACAGTAAACACTCTATTATAAATTTCCTCCTTCCTGTAGGTCTCTAATTGTCTGGGGGCTTCCTAACATTGGTATAGGCTACTGTCAGGAGCCTGGATGATGGAACAGATGGAGTTTGGGTTTGATTTATAATGACAGGTCTCATGCCCTCCTGTTTTACATAAATTAATTTAAAACATCGTAATCCCATGAACATAAAGCACCAAAGGATATTAATATCCACAAACCTCTACCAAAAGTAGAAACAATTCAAGTTAGCAAGTCATATAGTATTTTAAAAGTTAATAAAAAAAAATCAAACATGAAGTGAGGCATAACTTACTTGAAACTTGCATCTTCCTGATGTTGGTTGGTGTTACCAAATGCTCTGTGTTTAAAGAGGAAACAATGAGTGTGTGCTGAATATTGATGAACTTAATCCCTTTGAGGATTACCATTATTTGTACCCCCTTGGAATACAAATGGCTTATTTCTGAATGGTCATTGAGACCAGTATACTGAATAATCTGTAGCATCATTAACCTTTAACAATTTCTGCAAAGAATTTGTGTGTCTGTATGCTGCAGTTTTTATATTAAAATATATATAGAACTGTGTTGCTGAATTGTGTGAGAGTTTTTAATAGGCTGTATAAAATAATATAGTATTTGCACAATAGAAATAATATATGTTGTGGCAATATTTGCACTATTAAAAAGCAGAACATTTTTCTTTTCAAAGATTAAAAGCTGCCAGTGTCTTTTGTGAAAAGTTATTATGGAATTTGAGGTTTAATTCCCCCCCTACTTCTCTCTCTCTCCTCCCCCTCCTTTCCTACCCCCTGCCCAATTCCAGGAATTAATCCTTTGAAAGGCTGGAATTAAAGCATTTTGCAATGCAGAGGACTCTGACAGTGGAGAAGAAAGTTCCTGTTGCTGAGGAATCACTATTCATATCTACCAAAGAGAGCCAGGACTGTAGCAGACTGAGTCTGAAAAGGCAACGGTGCCACAAGCTACCATTGGAAGGAGCTGTCTGCATCTCTCGGTGCTCTACTGAGCATGTCCCTGAGGAGCCCTGTGCTAGCAGCACATTATGCAAAAAGGCAGCTCCAGCAGCTGGGAGAGAGGCAGAGCAAGCCTTTGCTCCGCTTGCATCACCGCCTCTTGAAAACAAACCTGGATTACTCGAGAGGTCTTCGCTGCCAGGCCAGCTGAATGAAGGCGAGCGGCATGGCTTGATTCCTGACGCTGCACGATTGCTAAACAACATGGGGAACCAAGATGGGAAGCTGAAAAGGAATGCAGGTGATGTGCATGAAGGAGGCGAGGATGCTTCTGGGCCCAGGGATGCAGAAGGCACAAAGAAGGGAGCAGGGAGCAAAAAGGGACTGGGGAGGTACGGCAAAGGGAATGAATCCGGCAAAAAAAAGGGGAAGTCAGAGTCTCGGGCATCTGTGTTTTCCAATCTAAGGATCAGAAAAAATCTGTCCAAGGCTAAAGATGGAAACAGCAGCTCGAGAGAGGATGTTTTAGAAAGCCAGGCCTCACAAACAGGGGAGCTAGACAGCGCTCATTCGATTCTCACCAAAACTCCTGATATAAGCATTTCTGCAGATGAAGGGGGTCTCTCGGACACAGATGTGGATCATTTTGAAAATACAAATGAAAATCGCCCAGCTGCTGCTGCCGACCCGCAGGATGGACAAAGGACCAGCTCCGGCTCCGATACGGACATATACAGTTTCCATTCAGCCACCGAACAAGAGGATTTGCTTTCTGATATCCAGCAGGCTATTAGACTGCAACTGCAGCAGCAGCAGCAGGGGGCAATTAACATTGGAACGGAGCAGCATGGCACCAAAACAATGGACCTACACATGGCTAATTCTCAAGCAACCCCCTTAGGTTTTGAAAGGTTTCTTTCACTAAGCAGCGACAAAGACAGCAGTCCAGATACTGAACAGCCTGTCTCAGCGAAATCGGAAATTACAGAATATATTGCCACCTGCGATACCGAAAGTGAAGCGAAAGAAGCGACGAACGTAATGGGGCATTCCTGCAGCAGTGTATTCAGTATGCAGGAAGAGCATGGGCAATTGCCAGAGGAGCAGGACCAACCTGCTCGTGAACTGAAAGATTTACCCCCTTAAATGCTGCAGCGACAGAGAATGGGGCTGTGCTAGGCAGTTCCGTGTTTAATTTTCCATCCCCAGCTGGCCGATTCAGAGGCTAAAGGAATAGCTGTTGAATTTTCAGGTTCAAAAGGAGAGGATGATATTGTAAATACAGGCCACGATCAGGTTGGTGGAGCCAAAGAGAGGAAGCAGAGTTTGTCAGCCAGCAGAGAGGCGCTGGATGATGGGCTTTCTTCTGAATTGAAAAATGGTACTTTTTCCTCTGAGGATCTCTCAAGCAGTCCTGTGCGTAGTTCCAAGTGTTTTAAGCCCTATCCTCTCATCAATCCCTGCTACATCAAAACCACCACTAGGCAGCTGAGTTCCCCAAATCACTCACCTTGTCTCTCCCCATCCCAGAGCCCACTCTTTAAAAGGAGACGCGAGTCCTCTCAGCGGAAAGAGAGTGCGCCAACCACGAAGCAGAGGTCGGCCAGTTTGGCAGGTTCATTTAGTCGATCAGCAGACTGGACAGATGAGATTTCAGATCACAGAGCTGAAATAGCTCAAAAGTCAGGCTCGGCAGATTTCTTGGAATACCGGCGGAGTAGAGATGGTTTTCAAGGCGAAAGAGTGCATTTTAATCACTCGAGAAAGTCGTCAGGGACACCAGCTTCTACTGATGCCTTCCCCAATGTGTTTAGAGGTGAGTGACATTGGTAAACTATGGTAACCCTTGCTGTGACCTCGGGTCTGAAAAGTAGGTGGCTAGCGTACAGTAATTAACATGCCCTATCTATCTTGGTCTGATTTAAATTGATATTTAAAGTGAGTTTGCAAACTCTACAACTTTTTATGCATTCAAGTTCTGTGGTCTCAGTGGATATGTCTACAGCACTTGTTTAAAGTACTTGTTTAGAATTTTGCTTTATTCAGCGTACCCATCAGGCAACTGATAAAGTGTCTTATAAATAAACAGTGAACTCTGTGTATACAGCCCAGCAGACATTATATTTTGGGGAGCATTGTGCGAGCCTACTGCATCTGTTGCTCAACATTATTTGTTATTATTTATTTTATTTATAAAAATATTTATATACTGCTATATCATAAAAATATATCAAAGCTGCTAGGTGTGCAAAGTGCTTTACAGTCCAGGCGGGGATTTATTTCACTTTCACAACTCTCGCAGTAATTGTGAGTCATACATTAGAATTGCAAGTCAAATTTTATGAATATGAACCCTTGATTAAATATGACTTGCACGTGGTCACCATTGAGTCATGGCAACTGAATCCAGGTTTGCCTGATTGAAGCTCAACACTCTTGTCACTAGGCCATGCTGGCCCTTGGTTGATAATTTACATAAATAATGTTCATGTAAATAAGGCATACCATGGACAGGTATTTGCACAAGGCTAGCCACTGACACCATGGCTGTCTTGGGGTTTAAAGAGCTGATATCTCCCTAGTCCAGTGGTACAGAAGTCTGCAACACTTGGCCCAAAGGATGCGTCTGGTGTCCTAGAGTTTGTCCCTTGGCCTGGATGGCCCATTACCGCTACTGCTTGAAAGCCATCTGCTTTTGAGGAGGTTATTCCAGTGTGTTTGTGTGTGTATTTTTACTGTTGGGCCAGATGTTCTGTACTTCTTCATTCAACTACAGTGACCGTTAGGCGCCATGAAGACACATTGAAGAATAATATGTAAGGCATCAGAGGTAAACTTTGAAAGGTATCTTCAAAGTTTGGTTTAGTTTCATGGATGACCTCATTTTTTCTTAAAACTTCTAATATCATTATCAGAAATACTGGGTTGCATTCAGTATACATAGAAGGTCTGGGAAGGGAGAGCTGGGTCTGGAAGTATTGCTATAGTCAAATCCTGTTTGAATTTAGCATTGCTCCTTCAAAAAAGAAAACCTGCTCCAGGAGCTTTGTTCTTAAATTACAATGAGAAGAAAATAAACATCAATTTTATTGATCAAATACATCAATTTCTTGGCCAGGGTAGTCCCTCCCCTCCCCACCATTCAGGAAGCATGTTGGAAGGTTAGGAGGTTTCAGTCCTGTGAATCAATAGCCTCTGCTGGTGTGATCCTCACATACCCCCGTTTCCCACTCTCCAGGTTTGGCTAGAGAGAAATTGTGAGGTCTCTCTCCTTCCTTGGAGGGGAAAATCATTTTAAAATCCTGTCTCTGGGATGTCACAGGCCATAAATTTGCAATATTAGTTGAAATTCATTCCCATTGAAGTAATGAGATTTCACTAAGGTCACATGTACACTACACTTTTAAAGCACAAACCTTCCCTGAAGAATGTTTGGTTTACTCCGTATAATGCTACAATTCCCAACACCCTTAACAAACTACATTATTATATTATTTCTGCAGAAAGCAAATAATTTGAATCAAGTGCAAGTTTTGTGGAGCAGTTGTGAAAGTTAATGAAAGTGGAACAGTATGGAGTGCTGCACATAAAAATGATTTGAGTGTTTTCTTCTATTCTGAAGTGTTAAGCAGACTCACTGGTTTCAAAGTATTATTATGCTATTAATATAATTGTATAGGGACGCGGGTGGCGCTGTGGGTAAAAGCCTCAGCGCCTAGGACTTGCCGATCAAAAGGTCGGCGGTTCGAATCCCCGCAGTGGGGTGCGCTCCCGTCGCTCAGTCCCAGCGCCTGCCAACCTAGCAGTTCGAAAGCACCCCCGGGTGCAAGTAGATAAATAGGGACCGCTTACTAGCGGGAAGGTAAACAGCGTTCCGTGTGATGCGCTGGCTCACCAGATGCAGCTTGTCACGCTGGCCACGTGACCCGGAAGTGTCTGTGGACAGCGCTGGCTCCCGGCCTCTAGAGTGAGATGAGCGCACAACCCTAGAGTCTGTCAAGACTGGCCCGTACGGGCAGGGGTACCTTTACCTTTACCTATAATTGCATGTCTTATTAATTGCAGAAAGGAAATAACTTTGTTGATTGTAGTCTTTTAACCAAAATTGCTAATTCACACTGCAATCCAGAATTCATTTAAGACAGTGATAGAATTCCCATGGATTTAATGGTGTTGTATAGTTGAGAGAGTATTAGACTGGTTCAAATCTTTACTCAGTATTAAAGTTCATGGGGTGAAGTTGTGACTTCTCACTCCAGTTGAACCTTATATGCTATGGAAAAGATAAGGCAGGATAATCCTATGTATGCTGCCTTGAAGCCCATAGAGAAAGTATGAAATAAAAATGTGATGAATCCAGTTTACACTCTGAACTATGCTCAGAAGCCCACTTCAGGTGGT